AGTTAGGGAACGATATGATCACGAAGTGTTTATGATATGACATGTTTATGATATTATATATTGTGATGTGATATGTTATTTTTAGATTTTTTTGTGTGATCATTGAGGTAATTGTTGTATGAATTGCACGTTATGAAATGACATGTTAAAAGCATGGAGCGTTATGTTATGTTTTCTAAATTGTATGTATACAACATGTTATGCATGACATGATATCACGGTAAATGAAATGAAATGTAACCCCGTTAGGATTATGTATGATACGTAGACTGAAATATGAGAAATGACATGTTAAGCATGAAAGATGATAGCGGGGTTATATTCATTAATGATAAAAGTAGAAATGTTGGGGACCTCATGCATTATGTGTGCTCATGCATTTGGGGGATTCCCTTATTCCATCACGAGGGTACGGACGCGTACATCCAATGGCAGGACAACGATTGTTATTTTTTGCATAACGCTGCCATGACGGTTACTAATTCTAACGGGTGTCCGGCCTAGGGAGCATCCCAGTGTATGCTCGCCCGACAAGTAAGGTGGCCAGCGGTGTGCGAATTGACTGGTGAGCCCATACCCGCACGTATGGGTTGTGTGTAGAGTATATGGTACACGTCCAAATTACCCGTTAGGATAGTACCATAGAAAAATAGATTGAAAAGATAGGTTCCGTCATTGCATTCGCATATTCTTGCATTTAACCCCAATAGTGGGGTCACTCACCAAGTATTTCTTTAAACACTCAAGTCATGTGCTACTACATTTTTCAGGTTCAGGCAAGGCATTCCTGTATGGCTGATGACGACATCGCAACTCGAGACCATGACACATGCATAGAATATTAGTATTTATTTTCTTAGACTAAGGCTAGAATATGATGCTTTTAACTTAAACGCTTATTTATTTTATTTAGTCTTTTGTTGTGTTGTTTTAAAGATGTTTTCGAACACGTAAGTCCATGGCTGTGTTTTAAGATAAAGGTTATGTTTTATAGAATTTAAATGAAGTTTTCCGCATTCAATATTTATGATACGTATACACTAGCGACTAGCGACTTTAAACTAAGTAGAAAATTTCAGTTCGTTATGCCAAAAATTTTAAATTACTAGGAATGGTATGTAATGATCCATTTTTTTAAGAATTAAAAGCCACAGATCTAGAATTAAATCGAGTCTTCAATTTTGAATTATTTAAGAGCATACATGTGTTTCAATACATTTCAATAAATTTTCAGTTACTGAATAGCAATTTCTCGACTCCTCCTGTAGTCGTTTTTAGCTTAAAAAAAAAATAGTATAAATGAGTATAAAAATCTTACCAGTGAGCTTGGACCTTTGTAGGAATTGTACTCTGCTAGTCACTCTCGTGCTATGACCTTGATATTATCTAAAAAAATATTAATACTCAGCAAGGCACTATAATACCTGCTTTTTAAGAGACTCGGGCCACAGACCTGCTTTTCAATAAAATTATTTTGTTAAATATGACGTTAAAATAGATAACGTGCTTTTTCTTTTCTTTTTGAGCAGAAAAAGTATTCTTTAATGATAATTTTTATGAAAAAAATGTTGTGCAGGTTGACAGGCTTCAAATTAGAAACTTGCAATTAATCGTCATTTTTTTAAGGAAAATTGACCTCGATTCTTTGTATATATCGGTTTTATGATCTTAACCTTTCCATTTTCAAGTATTATACATATTTTCTTTTCGGTCATAAATTGTTTCCCTTTCTAGTTTAAACCAATAAAATATTCCTCAATAATGAAATGGTTCTTGAGAAATGTGATATCCAAAATAAAAGAGAGTAGAGATGATTAAGAAAGACTTAAAAAGAATTGTAAGTTACTACTTATATGAACAAGAACAAGAAGTACCTTCCTTTTTCAAGGCTCAATTGTAGGAACTCTGACATTAAGTGTGCTTTGCTTGAAGTAATTTTATGTTGACCTTTTGAGAATTTTTGTTACAAACATGTGAGTGAGGGCAAAACATGTTGAAATGATTCATGTTGGTTTGTGTGGATAGTTTTCATTCTTAGAAACGAGGAGTAAGTAACCTGACCATATTATATCAAAGAGAATGCTAGGGTTATTCAGTGCCAAATTCAGATTTCGAATCTTGGGTATGAGTTGTTATAAGTAGAAACTCGAAATCCAACCAAATTATAACATCAAAAGAACTCTAAAATCTCAAAAGATTCCTCCCACTTTTATTGACTACAAATTACAACATATTAGGTCTATAAGAAACTCAACAACTCTATGTTGAATTATTACATATGTAAGCAATCAAACATATAAGGAAAAAAAAAAAAAATATTTGTGGGAGCAACAAGAGATGGAGATTTTATTTCATTTTTTCCAAGGGTGTATCAATTCAAACTTATTCGAAGGAATATTTTTTAAATAAAATCCATCATCAAAAGCTGCCCAAATACAATTTTTAAAGTCACAACGTTCAGAAAGCCAATTTGAATTTTCTGGCCAAAAAACCTCAAATGAAGCATACCCATTCAAACTATTAAAATTGCACCAAAACAAAGTCGTACGCCAAAAGTTCATTTTGAAGCTCCAGTTGAATTGGGCTTGCTTCTCCAAAATGCGTTTGCTCAAATCGTCGTCATTTGACTTGCAATGAGCATTTAAAACTGAGTTTGTTTGATAATTGTAAATAGTCACTTGCCATTTGCTCCCTGGTACTTGCCCATGGCTCTCTATAGCTTGTTTGTTGGATCCTGCAAAACATGTGTTAATAACCATGCTCGATTCCAAAACAAACAATAAGATAAACCAGAAGCTGGTTAGAGGTTTCATCTTTCTTTAGATACTCGAGGCTCTTTTATTAATGCTCAGCCATTCAGATTTTGGTTCATTATATATCCATGAAAGTTTCATGTGTATCCACTCTTAATAATGTTTGGGAGGGTGATTTAAGTTTAATATCAAGGCAACACATTAATTGCTATGAATGTTTTGAGGTTGGATATCCATACTTGTTGCATGGTTATAAATATCAATTTTTCTTATTTGCTATTTTTTTTTTAATGGAGATTGAAATACAAAGCTGTATTATTTTTAATTAAACAATAAAGGAAAACACAAAATAGACGTTACATTTTCTATATTTTCTATATTTTCTCCTTAATTAACATCAATTATGTCAAGCACACGAGAGTTATAAATTTTTCTTTTAATGTTATTTATCCATTTTTTAAACAGGAAGAAAAACAAATATGATTAACAAGATTGAGAGAATCACATTAGTATTATAAAAAATAAAATAAAAAGAAACCAAAATTTAAAAGTGTGGTCCTAAGTTCAAACCTTCCACCTCACATATTTTAAAACGAGTAACAGTCTTACGACTCTTTGAAACTTAATTGAAAAATATTTGTTAGATTTAAACTCGAAAATATAACAAATTCTAACGTTTTTATGTTTTATATTATAATCTAATTTGAGTTTGATTTGAATTCATATAGTTTTTGGGCAAAATTTCTAACTTTTCCTATGTTCAAAGTACCATTACTTTTAGGTTTTAATTTGGTTTTGGTGTATTTCCTATTTTACTTTATTTTTTTCTTTTGGTGATATTTTTCTATAAAATCAAGAATTTTGATATTTTGAATTTTTTTCTTAAGAAAATTTGTAGATCTGAACGAACTCGTTATAAATCGAGAAATGATGATTTGGACGAGTACGTTGCAGATTGGAAAGGCCAATTCAACTGGTGGTTCAAAGTGAACTTTGGGCAAACAATGTTGTATTGGTGTAACTTCATAGTTTGAACGGACATGTTTTATATGAATTTTTTTTTTCTTTTGTCAAATAAAAGAAGATTTGTTCTCTACACGATTGTACCTACGACAGTTACATTTGGACGGCTTTTAATGATGGGTTTTTATAATAAAATGAGATTTGCTCTCTAAACGATTGTACCTACGATAAAAGGGTTTTCATAATAAAATATTTTAAATAATTTTTTTCGTGTATTATAGATATGATATGTTATGCATGTAGTGACAATCTTGATTTCAATAAAAAAATTTGGAAATTTGGAGTCCTACATTTGTGCTTAACTCAACTAGCTAAGATGAGATATACATCAATCAAGAATTTAAAGGTTCGAACTTTCCACTTCAAAATTAAATTAACTCGATGCAATATACATTAAAGAATTCTTGACTAACAACTAAAAGTGTTCGAACTTCTAATTAAAACATTCAAACGATAATTTTTCTACAATCAAACTTAAACCCTTCACATGATTTTTTTTTTTCCAAAAATTGAGATAGAATTTGAACATGATCTAGATTTTTTAAAAAAAAAACTTCAATTACAATATTTTTCGATTTTCTTACCTCCTAAATGTGCTACACATTAAATCTCTTAAAGCTTGCTCCATAAGTTATTATCTCCTAAATTTACTTCACAAGTTAGATTTTTTAAAAAGTAAATCAAGTACAAGTCAAGCTTATTGACTCAGCAATCAAGAAATCATACCAACTCTAGTGCCCTATTATTAACTTGGTTCATTTGTGCATTCTCATAGAGGGATATAAATCCTTTCACCTGAATCATGTTATTAAATTCATATTCGAGCTCTTGGCGTAGTGTAATTCTTCTGTAGAGTGAAAGTTCTAAGTTTTCTTTTGAGGAAGATTTTAGTCATTCACACATAACACATATATTATACTCATGATCAGTTCATTTAAATGTTCTAATCATGCATTCTCTAGCTATATAAGGCAATTCATGCTTGCATGATAGCATAGTCTAGCGATTTCTACAAGTCTTATTCGAAATAAATTCATGTGGTTATTTACTTGTTCGTATGTGCCTAAGCTGATCCATTCCTACTCATTCGATGTCCCGAGTTTTTTGAATTTCCTCAAATTGGGGCTAATTGAAGTCATGGTTAATATCAAAATCGGATAAAATCGAATTGAATAGGAGCAAAAGAAGATTAAAAAAGGAACCAAAGTGAGGGAGCAAGAAATGAGACGAGAAAATTATTTTACTTCATACCATCAATAGAAACCATAAAGTTAAATAAATGCATTTGTTATTACAATTTATTTAGTATCTTCTCCGAGTTGTAAGTACTCTAGAAGGGTGCAATAACAAAATACAAAATGATAATAGTGCATACAATATAGTATGGAAGGTTAGTATATCATTTAAAAGACGTTAGAAAGTTGTGGAACCATCTTGCGGAGTCTTTTGGCATTCTCATCAAATTGTGCTTGAAATCAATATAGGTGATACCAAAGCGTATAGTGTACCCACTTGCCCATTCAAAGTTGTCCAATAATGACCATGCAAAGTAGCCACGTACCCTTACACCATCTCTACAACATTTTCCAAAATGTAACATAATTACAATCAACAGTTATGTACAAATAAATAAGCTAAAAAAGTGATTTATTAGTAGTTTAATTTTTGACTTAGTACTTACTTCATTGCTTCGTTAAGATAATAGAGATGGTCATTAAAATATTTGATTCTACCCTTGTCTCGTATTAAATCATGAGCACGGTGGGTATCAAAGTCGAGATATCCTGCAATTGTAAAATTTAATTAATCAAATCACTATATTCATCTTCATATCTTCATATGATTAAGTTATAAAGTTGTTTTCTTACCATTTTCTGTGATGTAAATAATTGGATTCTTATAATTATTCTTTACATATGTCAGCACTCCTTTCAATCCTTTTGGATAAACAGCTAGCCAAGATGATGGGTCTACCTACACCATTATTAACACAAAAGTATTAGATTAATTTTAAACTTGAAAGAGCACATCCAAAGAATAATTTGCACACTATTATTGTTATAGTTCATCATTGAAGGAAGTTTGAACACAAATTACCTTTGGACCAATTGGAACTCCATCACGATCAGCTATCATACAAAGATATTATACAAAGTCAAGTTATAGAATAGATATGCCATATGAGAAAGAAAGGCTAATTAAGTATTAGATGAACTTAAAAGTATATTTGGGATACTTTTGAAAATTGTATTCCTAGATAAACACTTTATCATATTATAGATTAGGATAAATATCAATTTAATTAATGTAGAAATCTACTAGAATATTAGATGAGAACTCAGACTTAAAATGACATGTGAATGATCAGAAATAGAAATTGAGATTCAAAAATTGCCCCACCATTGCACGTCACCTACGTACTCCTTAAATTTCATCCTAAATTCCAAAAAAAATTTACTCTAGAGATAGTTTTAAAATATATGAAAGATTAAGAGTAATAATGTAACTTGATTATTTTATAAACAAATCACGAAGTTATAAGTTTTCTTTGCAGCTAAATTTTAAAAATGTAAGGTTTTGGTTTGAGTACATACTTGAAAGAGTTGCATGAATATCATTCAAGTAGCTTTGGCCTGGATAAACGTTGCTGGGATTGTCTTTTGCATAATTAGCTGTGTAATAATTTATGCCAAGGAAATCAAAGGAGTTTATGATGGACATGCTTGCTTCCTTTGGGAATATGGGCAACCTCCTCCCCACCAAAGTTCTCATGCTCTGTGGATAATCGCCATAAACGAGTGGATGCAAGAACCTAAATCATTGAATTTGTTCATAAGGATTGAATAGAAAGAGTTATGATCTTAGTAATGGATTCCTAAAGGTATTAGTGTACTCACCAACCAAGTGAAAAATCAAAAGCCCGATCTCTAGCTCTTCTATCCGCCTCAGAATCTGAATATGGCACATACCATGTTGATTCCAATGTGATGCCAATCAAACCCTTTTGGTCTGCCTAAGAGTACCATTTAATTTAAATATGCATAAACATTAGCTCCAAACTTAGAACTTTATTAAACAACAAAAGAGAACCTGATATTTGGTCTTGTAAACATTGACAGCCGCAGCGTGTGCAAGAATTAGGTTGTGACCAACAATGTATGGCTCGGTGCCGGAATTACCAGCAAGATAGCGACATGGATCCCATTCTGCACCTCTACCAGGTGCGTATTCTGCCATTACATAACTTTTGAAGGTGAAGATGTACTGTTCATTCAAGGTTATCCAATGCTTCACTTTTCCACCAAACAATTTGAAACAAAGATCAGCGAAGTCCCGAAAATGATCTCTGCAAATAATTTCCTTAGGGTAAATTTATAGTGCATTTAGACAAAAATGTTGGCCACATTCTTACCATTTTAAAATCAACTTTTAAAATTTTGTTTTTGTAACGGTCCAAGCTCGCCACGGAAAGATATTGTCCTTTTCGGAATTCCCCTCAGATATTGTCTTTTTCGGACTTTCCCTCAAAGTTTTTAAAACGCGTATGCTAGATAGAGGTTTCGTATTGTTCTCCTCCCCAACCGGTGTGGGATCTCACAATTCACCCCTTTCGAACTGATATGGTGTCTCACAATCCACTCTTTTCAGGGGCCTAGGGTCTTCACTGAGACTCGTTCGTTTCTTCAATTGATATGGGACCCCCCAGTCTACCCCTTCGGGGCCCGGTATTCTTTCTGGCACACTGCCTCGTGTCCATCCCCTCTTCAGACCTCAACCTCCTCCATGGTCACTCCGCCTCGTGTCCACACCCTTTCGGGGCTCAGCTTCCTCGCTGGCACACTACCTTGTGTCCACCCCCCTCCCCTCGAGGCTCAACCTCCTCGTTAGCACATCGCCCGGTGTATGGCTCTAATACCATTTTTAACTCTCCAAGTCCACCGCTAACAGATATCGTGCTCTTCGGGTTTTCTCTTTCGGGCTTCCCCTCAAAATTTTTAAAACGCGTCGAAGAGATTTTCACACTCTCATAAATAATGTTTCGTTCTTGTTCCAAATCGATGTGAGATCACTATGTTATGGTCGAAGATTTTATTATTATTTTAGAAAAATAACCCTTTTTCAAATTCACTCATCAAAATTCTTTAACCTTTATATTTTATATGATAATCTCATAAAAATTTACTTACACAATTTGACGATCCAAGAAGCCACCATACTCGGTTTCTAAAGCTTGAGGAACATCCCAATGAAAAAGTGTGACATAAGGTTGGATGCCTACAAATGAAAATTATATGACCCATTTTGAGATTAATAAAACTTGCTTATAATAATCATTGAGATTAAATAAATAATAGAAGAAGAACCCACCATATTTAAGCATTTCATCGATGAGATTATTGTAGTAATCTATTCCATCTTCGTTCATACCCCCACTAATCTTTCCCGCTGAGAAGAAGATTAATGTTTATAAAGTTAAGCTTCGAAAATGTATATTAAAGTAGAGTTTTGAGATTGGGTTTGTTCATCTTTGAAGTCCTTACTCGGCAAAATTCTGGACCAAGAGATTGAGAATCTATGAACATCAAAACCTATACTCCTCATGAGGGCAACGTCTTCCTGCATTGTCAACAATTATTAGCTAATTATACGTAATATATTTGCATAACAATCAGTTTATAGCATTAGTCTTGATGGCAAATTAGTAAAATAAAGTGCTTTTAAAAGAAGCTAGGTGTAATATCTCAACTCCACCGCTATCAAATATTATTCACTTTTGTCCGTTACGTATTGTCGTCAGCCGTCAGTCTCACGGTTTTAAAACTTGTCTACTAAGGAGAGGTTCTCACACCCTTATAAGGAATGTTTGGTTACTCTCTCTCCAACCGATGTGAGATCTCACAATCCACCCCCTTGGGGCCAGTGTCCTCGCTAGCACACCACCCAGTGTCTAGCTCGGATACATTTGTAATTGCTCAAATCCACTGTTAGTAGATATTATCCACTTTGACCTGTTACGTATGACAGTCAGCTTCACGATTTTAAAACGCGTCTACTAGGGAGAAGTTTCCACACCTTTATAAGAAATGTTTCGTTCTACTCTCCAATCGATGTGGGATCTCACAATCCACTCCATCTTAGGGGCGCGTCCTCTCTATTCAGATCTCACAAAAATAGTTACCAAAACAAGTTTAAGATTGACTTAGTTTGGAGTTAGGAATCTATATTTAAGAATCGTCCAATTTTACTCACTCTATAGCGATGATACTGATCAACAGTTACATCTCCATTGCTACGATCCTTAATTCTCTCTGAAATCAAACAAATAAGCAACGTTGAGAGCCATAATTCAGTGTGCAATTCAAAAAAATAAGCAATTTTATGAGAGAAAGACCTGGATATTTGTGAGTGTAGGTATCCCATGTACTTGGCCCTTTACCATACCTAAAGGCAGCACCTTCATACTGAACAAACCATAACAAATCAATACTCATCCTTTGTTCTTAATTTATCATTATTTGTATATCCAACTTTTACTCAACCTGGTAAGCTGAAGATGCTGTGCCAAATACGAAGTCTATAGGAAAGCTGCCTCGCCTGATCACGTTGATAGGCTGGATTTGGTTATTGACAACTGCAAACACATGAAGCACAAAGTTTAGGGAAGAACACAATATAACAATCTTTGAAACCCATCACTCAGTTTGGTTTGGTTTGCTATTGAGACTTTTTGTCACCAATTCACTCGTATCGATATCGAACGTTCAATACCCTTATATTAGAACGTTTCCTTTTGAACTTTGGATGAAAATTGGGATTTAGAACGAATATGATGATGATCTAAACATTCGAAAAATTTTGAGGTTGGAGGAAGAGAAAGAAATGAAACAAGTTCATTTACCGTTAGCCATTGAGCCTCAAGAGAAGGGTTTCAGATGAAAGGGTTTTTGGTTGTTTGTGGTGGAACTCTACCATGCCGTTCCCTCCTTTTTATAAGGTTTCAGGTCAAGAGGTGTATTTAATTCTAGCCATTTGGGTTTGTATTTTTTTTTATTTGTTTTTTTGTTTCTTTATAGATTCGATTCTTTTGTCTTTTTGTAAATGGGTTTTCTTTTCTTTTAATTTGATTTACTAGCTGATGTAATGGCCTGAGTTTTATGTAAGATTAATTTACATTATTTTTTCAAGTTTAAATTTTGAGATTTTAATTTTCATTTGATGTGATTGTGGTCGATGGGTATTTAGATTCGACTTCCCCTCGATCAACGAGTAATCTTGAGAGTTAGAAACTTAAATTTCGATGGGTTACCTTAGGTGTGATTCCAACAGATTCCATGAACAAATTTGGCAAGGATTCAATACTCTAGTTCGTGATTCTCCAAAAAAAAATTATAAGAAAAATACATTTGTAAAGATGGGCAAAAAGCTCAACAACTTTTGGTGAAGGAACCAATTCAATTCGAGCTTTGTGCAAGAAGATACCAAAATACAAAGAAAATAGTTTGAATCGAATTTCTTCATCGGAATCTGGGTCTCGCACAAGTTGAGGCAACCAAAGGGACTCTCGTCGCACGACTGGGTGGATAACACATCTGGAAGCGCTAAGGACATGTGTAAGTAGAGAAGCGCATTTGACTTCTGGTGTAAGCAAGTTTAAGCCAAGTCTCTAGTGTTATCTTAGCATAAGGTTCAAGTTCCAATTGGTACTTTTAAGTGGCTTACAGGTCCACTCTGGGTATAGAGGAGGTGGTTCACTCCTTTTTTACGTTACAGGTCTTTTAAGTGAAAATTTTCTATCTCTAGAGTGCACTACTTTTCTATTTTTAGACTTAGGTAGCCTGCTTTGCATATTTAGTGTGAAACCGGTGTCTTGGATTGAGGCGCTACATCGTATAACTCTCTCTAGTGTGGATATTAGGGTGTGTGATAGCTTACTCTTGTCATCCATGGGAAGTTCGCTGAAAAACCCTACCTACATAACCATAAAGTCACCCAAGGTTGGGGGAGCAACTCCCTTGTGCTTGCCAGCTACTAAGACTACCAACGTAATCCCACATCCCCTCTTAAGACGTATGTGATGTGCAAGATAGTCTAATTAATCTGTTGGTCACACAAATCTAACTAACTTAGACTTGGCTCGACAGTACTAGTACCGAAGTAGAAATGACAGTAGAAGCTCTATTGACATTGTACCAACTATTAATGGCCTAGAGGCTACCTTGTCATTCTTTGATGTCGTGGAGCACTACTAGGTTCTTAGGGACATCTAGGCAATTTAAAACTTGTCTCTTGTTTCCAAGACATTTAAAACCAACTCTTCAAGCTAATCCAATCTCTTGGTGCACAGAAGTCTATTTCTCTGATCGCAGCTCACGATCCTAGAGTGTAGTGTCTACTAAAAATATAATGTCCTAGATCACCGCTCACGAAATTACCTAGAGCATAGTATGCATATTCTAAAAGGCATCTTGGTCATATTTAGGAGCTGAGAAGGTCCATTGGATTCCTAGGGCGACTATGCGGCTTAACGCGAACTTTTGTCTCTCGGGTACTTCGGTCCAATTCTTTGAGGCTTTCTTAGTCTGAGAGCACTGGGGTCTGGATCTAATTACGGTGCTACAAATAGAGTGGTTTACATATTGACCCATGTCAGTATGTTTCCAATAGATACTACACCCAAGGATCGTGAGCGGAGATCTGAAGGAAAGACCTGTGAGCACCTAGAGAGTGGATTAGCATGAGGAGTTGATTCTAGACGTTTTGAAAACAAGAGACAAGTTTTAACCCGCCTAGATATCCCTAAACTAGTAGTCCTCCACGACATTCAAGAATGACAAAGGTAGCCTCTAAGTCGTTAACAATTGATATAGTGTCAAAAGAGCTTCCACTTCCCTTTCCACTCTGGTACAAATACCGTTGAGCCAGGCTTAGGCCGGTTAGGGTTGTGTGACCGACAGTTCAATTAGATTATCCTACACAGCTAATTCATCCTATGTGGGGACGTGAGATTATGTAGGTAGTCTTAGTAGTTGGTAAGCATAGGGGGGTCGCTCCTCCAACCTTAGCTGACTAGATGGTCATGTGAGTAGGTTAGCACACACCATAATATCCCAACTAGAGAGAGAATTTTACAAGGTAGCGCCTCGACCTAGGACACCCTTTTCACATTGCTTAGGAAAAGCAAGCTACCTTAAGTCTAAGAATAAAAAAGTAGTTCAGCCCAGAAGACCTGCGACACATGAAATGGGTGAACCACCTCCTCCGTACCAAAAGTGGGTTCGTAAGCAGCTGAAGTACAACTCAAAACTTCGAGACATCCCAGATGCTAAGATAGTTGTAGAGACTAGGCTCAAACTTCTCAGAGCTCAAAGTAAAGCTCGTGGATACCTCTACCATAATGATCTGATGAGATCCTATAAGTAGGTTATTTTTTTATTATTTTTATACTCGCTCCCTTCTCTTTTCTTTTTTTATGAGGTATTTGCAGGTTGTTGGTTGAGGTGAAGTAGTGTTTGAGAGCTATCGATCACAGAGGGGGTCGTTCCGAAGCATTAGTCCGTCCTTTTATTTGAGTTTTTTTGTACTCTGTTTTGTAATTATATCCCAAACTCATCTTCCTCGCTTGTAATAAATTTGAAGAGCATCATCTTATAACTAAAATCGATTTTGTATTTAATTTAGGTGTTATTGTCATTATTTCAATTTAAAATTGATCAGTTTTCACCTTTTATTTTATTATCTTTTTTTTAATTTATTTTCTTTTCATTTTGTCATTAGGGTCCTAACATGAAATTCGAAATCTTGAAAATCAGTCAAATAAGTAAATAGTAACAATTCTAGTGTATCTAAGTCCTGAAAAGTAAGATTATTACTCTGGTATCGAATAACTATTTTCCTCTCGCCGTCAAATCCATCACTTTCTCTTATCAACATCTTTCACTATCCAATCTCTCTTTCTTCATATACGGACACATTGGAGCATGGGGGAACATTTGTGAGTCACCATGGACAAAGCCCTGATCCCCTCATTGATACCAAATACCTCTCCCATCCTTTTGATCAACTTTACCACAAATAAATATTGAAGATGCAAGCATAGTCTAAATACAACGAAGTTTGAATATACAAATGAAAAATTAACAAAAATACACTCATTGTATACTTCGTCACTAAACAATCAAGTCAACGAACGTCACAAATAATTCATTAATGGCAAGTCAAAAGGAACAAAAACATGGATCAACCCTGTCTCAAAATTGAAGCATGAATCAAGCTTTATAGAGCATTCTTTTGAAGGATCTTCACTGTATTTAGAGGATAAGATTGTTGCATATGATCCTCTTTCCTTTTATTATAATCTTTTGCGATTCTTATCTTCAATAATTTCTTTTTTGATTCTTTATGCGTTATCGCCATAAGAAAATTCTGTTCTTTGTTTTCTTATGATAAATAAATCTACATGGTTCCCTAAGAAATAATAAAATAAAACAACCATTTAATAAACCAGCTTAGTAGCAAATCAAAGAATCAAATAATTAATAAGATAAAGCATGAACCAATACTATATGATAAAATTCAGGCATGAATCAAGCTTCATACATGGTCATATATGTTTCTTTATGGGTTACATATATAAGGGAATTAAATTATTTTTATTTATTTTAATCTTACTGTGATGGTGTAAGAGCTCAAGCCCACTGCTAGCATATATTGTCCGTTTTGACCCATTATGTATCACCATCAACCTAACCGTTTTAAAATGCATATACTAGGGAGAAGTTTAGTCTCAGTTTTAAAACGCGTCTAATAGGGAGAAGTTTCCACACCCTTATAAGAAATGTTTCATTCCCCCTTTCCAACCGACGTGGGATCTCACAATCCACCCCCTTGGAGGCCCAGCATCCTCGCTGGCACACCGTTCGGTGACTGGCTTTGATACCATTTATAATAGCTCAAGTCCACTGATAGTAGATATTGTCCGCTTTGACCCGTTACGTCTCACCGTCAATCTCACAGTTTTGTTCCCCTCTTCAACCAATGTGGGATCTCACAATTTGCCCATCTTGGAGGCCCAGCATCTTCACTAGTACATCATCCGGTAACTGGCTCTAATACCATTTGTAACAGCCCAAGCCCACTCTTAGCAGATATAGTCCGTTTTGGCCCATTACGTATCGCCGTCAATCTCACGATTTTAAAACGCGTATGCTAGAGATAAGTTTCCACACGCTTGTAAGGAATGTTTCATCCCTATAATTTATTATTATATTATCGACCTTTCTTACACAATTTATTCTCCATGATCTCATCATGTCCAAAAAAAAAAAAAAAAAAAAAACAATTCCTTTGAATTGATGGGCTCTCGAGTCGTGTGATCGAGGAGGGCTTGGAGGAGGGTTGTACCTTTTTGACAGGACGATATTTGGTTCTATAGGTTGACATGACGGCGATTCTTAAGGCATTGTCATCTTTTCTTTGAAATGAATACACTCCATCGTTATCGAATCTGATTGTGTGGAGGCAATCCGTTCTTTAAATCGGGAGGATGAGAATTTGACACCGATCAAATTGTTGGCGAAGAAGGTGCTGTGCGTGGTTTTTGCCACATATGTAGGCTGTAAAATTGTGTTGTTGATGGCATTGCAAATATTGCAGTCCTTGCAACTTTTCAGATTGACTTCAGGCCTTTGTTGATGCCAATTGTTGAAGTGTAGACTAGTTTGTTGCTTGCTTCGTTTGTAAAAAGTAAAAAGTAAAACAATCGGAAGTTCAACTCAAGCGTTCTTTTGTACACAAATAAAATAGAAAAAGCTCTGGAATCTCAAACAAGGAAAGGCATGGATGAAGAAAGATAAGAACTTTATTAGAGCTATAAGATTAGGTTGATACAATGTTGTTGCAACGATACCAGATTTATGCTAACCGAAAG